TACATTGAACTCCTTTATTGAATAACATGCTTTTCATTCATGGATCATACTTGTTCATGTTTAATTCAACATATTAAGCTTTGTACAGTGTTTTTATACCAATTTGATGAGTCATCATTCATTTGCACATTCAGCAGAGGTCATGAAAAAGTAATAACCCTCTTTACTGACACTGTAGACACACGTTAAACATGCAAAATGTCTCCTTCAGGATCAGCCTCTTATGTTGACTGACGGAATGTCTGTTCTGTGTTGGTCAGTTGGAAAAGCCAGTTGAGATCAATTCCAGGGTGGAGCCGGTCTCTTTGCCATCACCTAATTCACCACCGTTGGTTCACTATGCCCGGTGCACAGTCAGCGGCTGGGGCGTGACCTGGCTCAACAGATACAGCTTGTCCCCTGTACTGAGGTCTGTGGATGTGAACATCTTCGCCAACTGCTGGTTCTACTACTACTTCATGATCACAAACAACATGATCTGTGCTGGCTCTTACCATGGTGGCAAAGATTCCTGTCAGGTGAGACACACGGTTATAGAGGTGTGTGTGTGTGTGTGTGTGTGTGTGTGTGTGTGTGTGGTACAGGTATTACTCAAGTTGTGGGGTCCTAAATCTTTCTACATATTATGGGGACCCATAACTATGGCATGCCGTTCAGGAAATTAAACCTTTCAATATATTGAATGAAACTTTGAATATATGGAATGAAACTTCAGACGTCAGACTTCACCGCAGTGCCTGCAACCATCTTGTGTAACGTGTGGATGCTACAGCTAAAAGTGAGTGACAATGAGTTAGTCCGCTCACAATCTCGTTGCAGCAATATTAAACTATGAGGACATCAGTAACACACTGGCGAATGCATGTACGGCCCAAAATCCCCCCGATAGCCCCGCCCAATACCGTTCTTCTGACAAGGAAGTTTGCTCCCTTTTTAATCCTGGCAGACCTACTACAACAGTCAGCTGTTTATCAGGCCAACCTCAGCATGTCTTCAACCTCACAGGAGTGCCCGACAACACCCCGTGTATAATCTCCACCCGTACACAATAAAGGGCCCAAGACACTGTATGGTTAGCTTGATATAGTTTTCAGGTGATTTAATGAAGGTAAAACAAAGTGAATGGCCGTGCGTAATGGCACTGCGCTCTGACGCGGCACTTCTCCGGCACTGGCGAAGCTGCTGCGGCTACAGGGACACACAGACAAATGCATAATGAGATAATGCAGAAACGTTGAATATATGGAATGAAACTTTGAATATATACATTTGTCTGTGTGTCCGCAGACCGCTGTGTGAGTAACGTGCCCAAAGCTGTGTCGCGGATCATCAAATACGTTCAATACTAAATGAAATATTCAGCCTGCATTGGTCTATGAATGCGGGTGATTCTTATACGAAAAAAACAACAAACAGGGTGAAAACATCATATTCTTCACGAAATTAAATGAAACTAGCTACAGAGATCAGAGGAGTATTGAAACAGTAATAGAAAAACAATAAATTGGAAATACTGAGGTAAAGTGCAAGTATATCAGGTTTTCTCTTAAATATGGTATTGTAGTCTTAACCAATGATTCATTCTTTCTTTTCCCAGAAAGAACCTTTTAGACGCCAAGTTACTTCTCTACCAGTCTGTCAGAATGACACACTTCTTCTTCTTACTGTGGGAGATTTGTTATTGAACAGAAATTCCAGTGTGCTGCTATAACCTTTTCCATTTGTATATTTGGTTGCTTTGACTCTGAGCAGAATAACAAAAAAATATATTTTGGATTCAGGGAACTGATATTTTTGAGTGTGTGCAATTTGGTACAGCTTGACTTTTGGGCCATATATATATAGGTTCAGCGCTCTACTGATTGCCGTTGTATTTTTGGAAGAAAATGTCCAAAAGTCCCCTATTACCATGTTACAGAAAGTGAAAATAAGATCCTGGATCAACTTATTTATCTAGATCTGCTTGTTGAGTTGTGTCATGTCCCACCCCTCCCCAGATTTTCATGGAAATCAGGTCTGTGGTTTTTGAGTAATCCTGCTAACTAACAAACAATGCAAACATTGATGGAGAGAACTATCACTACTCACTAACTCCTGTTTGAGACACACTTACATTGAACTCCTGCATTGGTCTATGAATGCGGGTGATTCTTATTGTATCTAAACAAATTATGAAGAGCTTCTCTTTCAGTTCACGAAGTCCCTGTAGCCGCAGCAGCTTCGCCAGTGCCGGAGAAGTGCCGCGTCAGAGCGCAGTGCCATTACGCACGGCCATTCACTTTGTTTTACCTTCATTAAATCACCTGAAAACTATATCAAGCTAACCATACAGTGTCTTGGGCCCTTCCTTGTGTACGGGTGGAGATTGTACACGGGGTGTTGTCGGGCACTCCTGTGAGGTTGAAGACATGCTGAGGTTGGCCTGATAAACAGCTGCCTGTTGTAGTAGGTCTGCCAGGATTAAAAAGGGAGCGAACGTCCTTGTCAGTTGAACAGTATTGGGCGGGGCTATCGGGGGGATTTTGGGCCGTACAWRCATTCGCCAGTGTGTTAYTGATGTCCTCATAGTTTAATATTGCTGCAACGAGATTGTGAGCGGACTAACTCATTGTCACTCACTTTTAGCTATAGCATCCACACGTTACACAAGATGGTCGCAGGCACTGTGGTGAAGTCTGACGTCTGAAGTTTCATTCCATATATTCAAAGTTTCATTCCATATATTCAAAGGTTCATTCAATATAGTTAAGGTTTCATTCCATATATTCAGACTTCATTCAATATATTGAAAGGTTTAATTTCCTGAATGGCATGCCATACATAACATAAATCATTATATTTTCCTTATAACTGGCACTTATATACTGAGAGTGAAAATGAGTTAATAGTCTAATGTAACATTAGTGGGTCAAATGTTACGGTTGAAATTAAAGGTAATTTTTATCATACGCACAGTTACGATTACATTAGATAAGGGAGGGGGTTTCTACAGTGTTAATGAAGACAATATTGTATGTGAGACGCCAATTAAAAGATTGAAAGAAACACAAAGCTGCATTGAAAGATTGGAACAAGCTGTAAACACAACACTAGTGTATAATCAACACCTTATTGTAAATATGTCCTCACCAACTCCAGAGAGGGGAAAAGTTGAGGTTTTTAGTCCCTAAGTGCTCCGATATGATCACCACCAGCTTTTCACTGTTGATGACTGGGTGATGTTTGGTGCTGGGCGCTCTGGAATAATAACAACCTTCAGGTCTGTGGCTGTTTAAGAGTTTTATTCACTGTCCAGTGGAGACAGACGTCACAAGAAAGTGGTACAATTCTGTCTGATGGTCAACAGGCAGAGTTAAAGTTTTACAGAATTATATGAAGGCAGGTCTAAAAACAATATGTTATCCTTAGGAAGTCCTGGACAGGCTCATTTACAATACAATGTGCTCCCATCATCCCTTCAACACCTCTGCTAATGTGATATATCTGTCTGCGTTGGGGGGGTTCTGGTGGATTGAATTCACATATATGTATGAAAGCATTTTCACAGGCCACTTTCCAGAGTTAATTAACAAGTTTTACACAGGTAACTGATGCAGGTAATGTAATTATGTAAAAGAGTTTGTCCCAGCGCAGAGTTTAATGTCAGGTGTAGAGAGAGAAGGGACTTGATCTGGGAGCATTGCTTGATTGTTGTCCTCCACAGCACATAGTGTACAGAGGGATGTTAGAGCAGAGTTCAAGGCCAGAAAACAAAAACCATTTTTTAAATGCTCTGCATACGTGGCATGTAGGGACTCTTCCCTGCATCCAATTCACTTACACAGCTGTTGTTTTTCTCCTGTCAAGCTTTCATTTAGTCTTGAATGTGTAACACCACACAATTAGAAAAACTTTGAACTTTTGACTTCCTCCTCAGGGGGACTCTGGAGGACCTCTCATCTGTAATGGTAATTTTGAGGGTATTGTATCTTGGGGTAATGGCTGCGCCCATGCCAATTACCCTGGCGTCTACACCAAGGTCAGAAACTACCTCGGATGGATAAACTGGATCATCCAGAACAACTGAAGAGACTCTTTAATAACAGTCTCCTCTAAGACTCTGCTGTGAGGAAGATTTGACTGGTATCTAATGGACTCAGCCTTCATGGATGTTTTTTGGGACCTTTTATGCTTTACTTTTATATGAACATGAATATATTTGCTAAAAAGAAATGAGCTATGACATACATACAATGAACGCGAACTCATCAAAGCACACAGATAAAAATACACAATTTTTTCCCACTTTGTGAGTATCATATTTTATAACTACAATGGCTCTCAGTAGAGCCCAAGGCCAAACAGTCCCCTAATGAAACAGCATTTCAATTCACTAGATCCAGATTCTTAATGGCCCACATTCATAAATATCAGTCCCTAAATATGTTCGATTTTTTTCATTGAGATCTGTAAATTATTCTCGAAAATGTAAAAGAAGACTCCCTATCTCATGATGTTAAAGAAAGTACATAAAACATTTATGGATCTGCCCAAACAAATGCAAACAAAAACATAACCCATTTATGGCAGAGGTAATCTGGGAGACAAGACTCAAATATAAGATATAAAGTTTTACATAACAACTAAATGCACTTTGTATTTTATAGTTATTCCATTGTGTTTTCATGGCTTTCCTGAGTTGATGTTAACGATTTTTGACCCACAATGGTTTCAGGGATCATTTTAATGTTGGACACATCCACATCATTACTGAAAGCTGTACACATCAATAAAGATGCATATTTTCTCAAAATGTCTCCTCTGTTATTTTACTCATTACTAATACACAACAGACAAGGAACCCTGTGGAAAAGATTTTAATTGCTCAAAATGTACAAATGTATGTGAGTAATGGTAGCAACACAACCACACCTCTGTTGCCTCATGACAGTGTTGGCTGACACCTGATTGGCTGTGACTGCCCCTTGTCACCCTCCCCTCTCTCCCATTCAAATCCAAAGCTGAGCAACAACATATTTTTTCACTGAGTCAGCCACGTAACAGGCAAGGATGGACCAAGTTGAAGTAATGAACATCAGAGACCAAGACCAGGGCTCCAGTAACTTGTCCCCGGAAACACTCAAGAGGTTGATCTGCCAGTCCCAGGAGGCAAAGATACACGCCTACTGTCCATACAGCAAATTCAGAGTGGGGGCCGCTCTCCTGACCGTCGACAACCGTGTGTTCACAGGTAAAATACACAAAAGTAAAGGAACGCTCCTGGGTTGTTGGGTCTGATTCAATATTTGGTATGAATGTATAAATTCAGGTTTATTCAGGGTGTGAACATCTGCTTTTATTTGACAAGAATTATTTGAAAGTTTTACTTCAATATATCTGTAAATATATATTGATTCTGCTACATCTTTCTATTCATCATATTTCTAAGCTACACAAAAATAAATGAGTGCAATAATTCATATCTGTTCATACCTCCCCATAACTGCTGCTAAATCATGACTGCACATGTTTATATTCACCTTAGCACCTTATAATGTTTTATTGTAATGTTTATCGACACCTTTTAATGTTTATTTTATTTTTTGCACTAGTTAATGACATTGTACTTTCTTGTTTATTTGCACTAGTGTATTGGTATTTTGTATTTTTAGTTACTCTTATTTTATTATCTTCTGACACTATTACATGTTGAGCTGCTTGAGGTGCCTGGGATTTAAGATTTCCATTGCCAACATGTACGCTCAATGACAGATGACAAATAAAACTTTTGAACCTTTGAAATATCAATGTCATCAGAGCTGCAGTTTTACGCAACATGTAAACATTGTTAATATCCTTGTTATCATCTGTTTTGTTGTTGTTTGAGGCAGGAGGGGAAATTCCAAGCAAAAGTTCATGGAAATTGATCATTTGCTTGGTGGGAGTTACATGTTGATGATTACATGACAACATACAAAAGCTCAGAGCAAAGGTTTGATTTGAACGTGTCTCTGTCTGCAGCAGACCATAATAAAACCCCTCACCAGGGTCAGCCTGTCAGTTGCCTTAAATGCATTGCTTATACTGATTGGGATGTCAAATCACTTTAAGCAGAAAAAGTCAAAGACAGGACTGTTGCAGAATGTTGCTGGATAGTGCAAAGATTAGCGAGTCTCACGTCCCATGGCAGAAATGTCTGGGGGGCAAATGGCAGGCAAACAGCTGTGAGTGCAAAGACCTGCTGAGTAACTGTTTGCCTAGTTCAAAGGGGGTAAAACAGGCGGCCCCTCCTCTCTCATGTTTTTTCCACTTATGTGCCTGACAGGATGCAACGTGGAGAATGCCTGCTACAACTTGGGTGTGTGTGCTGAAAGGAACACTATGTCAAAGGCGGTGTCAGAAGGTTACAGGTCTTTCAAGGCCATCGCAGTCGCCAGGTACTTTCTGCGCCTCAAGTGATGCAAGACTGATTCTCTGACACCAGCAGGATGTTCCTCTCCTTGCATCATCTTCACCACTCCTCTATTGCCAAATCATGATTTGTTTTAATTGTGCACATCACAAAACCTTACCAAACTGAGTCAAACGTCCCCCATTTATGTCTATGCAAGAATGACATTACTCTTTAACATCGACACATACAACACTGACATCTGATTTCAAAATCAAGTGCTTGTTGGACCATTTGAAAATAATTGTTTCTAACTATACTTTCTCCTGATATGCTCTTTGCAGTGACATGAATGACCAGTTCATCTCGCCCTGTGGCGGCTGCAGGCAGTTTATGAGAGAGGTACCGTCTCTGCTCATCTCTGTGACAGACAAAGTATTAAAAGTAACAGTACCATCAAATTAACTTTTCTACTTGAGCAAAAGTTATTACTTGTGTTTAAGTATACTTTAAGTAAAAGTAGGCTACCACATTAACTTCTCTACTTGAGTAAAAGTACGTACTTACTTTTGAATTTACTTAAAGTATTAAAAGTACCACATTAACTTTTAAACTTATGCACTTGCTTTTAAAAATAGTCATTGTAAGAGCAAAAGTAATTTAAAACCTAATTTAGAAAAAGTAAGTGTTTGCTTTTCAATATACTTAAAGTCTAAAAAGTAAAAGTACCTGCTGGGTGTATCCTGTTCCCTAAAACAATGGTCTACACAGTATCACAGTATTTTAGTGAGAGTGTCTTTCAAATCCTTTTCCATTGTTTCCTCACCAGTGAGGCTGCTGCTGGGTCACTTTGCTCTTCTAAAGGAGGCGGGGTTAAATGTGACCTGCTTGCTCTGACTGGATCAGATATCAAAATCTTGTTATTGATTACTCTTAAAAAATATAAAAGACAATGTGTGTGTGTGTAACAGTGCATTGTTCAAATCCAGTGGAGTAGAAGACCAAATATTTGCTGATATATGTAGTGGAGTAAAAGTGAAAACTACCTGAAAATAAATCTGCTTAAATTAAGTAAATCAATCAATTCAGAAAAATTAAGTGCATGTACTTTGTTGGATATCCTGTGTGCTGTCTAGAGCTTTGTGTGCAGATTTACCACTGACAATTCTTCCTTCGTCCTTTGCAGTTTGGATCAAATTGGGATGTGTACCTGACAAAGCCGGACGGCTCGTACCAGAAGATGACCGTGGACGAGCTGCTGCCTTTGTCCTTTGGCCCCGATGACCTGTCCATGAAGAAAGTGCCTGACATTCCTACTGAGGACTGAGCCTTTATGTTGTAGCCACACAAGTGTAATATTTGAATGATCATGCCATTGTGCTGCATTTACACACATGCTTTAAATATATTCATGTTTATATTTATCAATGTTTGTTCTACTTTTAGCTTTTTGTAAACACATTTAAATTCCCTCTTGGTATACTGTAGCTACAAAAATTAATGAGCCTTAATTAGTCATTCATTTACTTACATTAACATGATGAGAGCTGTATCATTATAGATAAAACAATATTAGTCTGAAAAAAGCATGAAGGGAAATGACAAACATCAACGCAGGACAAACTCATCCTCATATTTTAATAAATAAACTGTTTTAAAAGGAGTTTCTTTTCATAATTTACACAGCATTTTTTCTTGCAGTGGGATATGGATGTAACAAGAAAAAAACATTCTGAGTTACAGTGTAATGAAAATATTTCTTCGGTCTCAAATTAATCAATTACGGGAGAGGGGGGGGGGGGTGAAACATTTATATTGCCAGTGCAAATTCACTAAGCATTTATGTGATTTTAGGTCTAATTATTACATGCATTAACATTTACAGGTTTGAGGGCAGGGACAGTGTGGCAAATGTGTAATTTTCCCCCTGATTTAGACAAATAACAAGAGCTTAACAAACAAGTATAATCAGGCTCACAGCAACTGTAAAGACAAAAAGGCAGATTTCAACATTGCGGGATCAAATTACTGAATATTTCACGTTCAAAGAGAATCAACGCAGAGATACAGTAAGATATTGAGATCTGGTCTGAGCAGAAAACCTTCAGGATGAACCCTGATAATCAATCCTGCTTAAAAACTTAAATGTTAATGTTGTTATGTGAATAAGTTGGTTATTGCTTCTCATCATGCTGCGAACTTTATCTTTACACCTGGAATCAAAAAGGGTTGCATCAGCTCTATTAGCAAAAAAGGCCATGAATCAAGTTCCTACAAAAACAAAAACTATTATTTATCTATAAATTCAGCTCAACAGGCTTTATTCTCATTCAGCTGCTTCCAAACAAAAGCCCATGTGGAGATCTGATCACATACAGCAGAACTGATCAGAGGGACATACTGCCAGAGGTTGCACTCATGACTGACATCCATCTTATATCACATTTTAGATGCTCTGGATGGTTCAGAGGCTTTAAGCAAAAAAGAAATTGCACTTATCCCGTGCTGTGAATTCACTATTTCAATATGCAGAGATTAAAGTAAAGAAGGAGAAAATAATGCAAAGAACTGTATAGATATTTCTAAGAAAACCAGAGAGGAAACACAATCAGTTTTTGTTGTTTTTTTTCCATAAAGATTTTCTCCTGTCTTTGCTCTCTGTGCTGAAGACGTGATGTGGTGTCATGCAGCCCACACTTTGTCTTTGCTGCGTTTATCTCATATTTTAAAAGCTGCAGACTGCTGCATTTCAAAGGTTTGTTGTTGTTGCACACACTCAGCCAATGATTTCCTGCTGATCCACACTATGAGATGAAACAAAACATTCTGTAAACTGGTTGCAAATGTTCAGTGCAGCAACTTTACTCTGCAAAAGAGAAATTCAATAATAATTTGAAAACTGTAATATATTCTAGCAGTTATCTTGCTTTATCAATCTCAACCGTTCTTACTTTGACCTCAGCTTTCTCTGGAAGAGTTAGCGCTTTCATCGAGTGAGGGCCATGCAAGGACCTGTAATCTGGGCAGGGTGCCCTCCATTAGTCTTTCCATCCACAGCCCCAGTCTGTCAAGCTTATGGTGCACCTCTATGCTCGTGGCCCTGCTGGAGCCTCTCTTGGGGCCAGCCCCATTTTCTCTGGAATGGGACCTGGATCGAGAGTGGGAGCTAGACCTGGACCTGGACCGGGATGTTCTCTTGCTGTCAGAGGAATATGAGTTCTCTGATGATGAGTCGTTGGGATCGTCCCCTGTGAAGACGGGTGTAAAGAGGCAAAAGTACTTCTTGTGGCCGTTGAGGGCCAGGACGTATCCAGCATAGTCTGAAGGCTCCTCGTCTTCATCTGCGTGGCCCTCGCTTTCCGCAGCGCCAGAGGTTGAGCGAAGGAGTGACGGCATCCAGTGGCAGTGCTTATCCGCGTTAAGGAAAGAGAAATGCAGGGTCTGCGTCCTGTAGTGGCAGAGCAGTTTGGGATTAATAGGTGGAGAGAGCCATGGTTGATAAAAAATATGCCACTGGGGCATGTTAGTGGCCCAGATAAAAAATGAAGATAATAGATAGTGTTAGCATCACTCCCTGGTACTATATTTATTCCATATACATAAAAAACAAGCCCCATTGTTTGATCTGAACAAATTCATAAACAATACATTCAAATATATAAAAAAGATTTACCCAGAGAAAGAAAAAACCTCCTTGGCAAATTTTCCGAGCAAGGCATTCTTGGAGGTGTTGGTGAGCACCAGTACAACGTTGATGTGTCCAGGCCTCAGCTTGACAAGGTTACTGATGTACGTGATGTCCGTCAGCTCCGTCACCTCTACAAAATTCTTCTTGGGAGGACGACTGCATGAACAAAAGACAGACAGATGTTGAGGGAAGAAAAGTGGGAATATTTGTGGGTTGAGAGTTTTGTCCCCAAATTATTTTATAGAGTTGTCTTCAGAGGGGATCACTTCATGTCCAGACTGTAGAAGAGGAATAAATAATGAATGGATCCTTTAAATACCTTGATGGAGCAGGAGAAATCTTTAAATGCTTACTATTATCACTATCACTGCTGGTTTGAGTAAAATATGAATGAATCAAAACCAAATTATATCATGTTGAATGAATAATTAAAGACTGTGCCAATGGGTAACAGAAGTGGTTTTATAATTTAGATACACGGATGTAATTTTCAAAAAGCATCTCAGAGTTTGTTTGCTTAACTTGAACTCAGGATAATGTCCAGACAATAGTGCAGTTTGCCCTTCCCATATGAATAATGTTGTGTCACATGTTTTTGTTTACCGCACATCGACACTGGCGTTGGCCATTATCATCAAAAGCTATTGAATCTTGTTGTCTGTCTTAGTTCACATCTTCAGCTCCTCATTTTAACTGAGAGATATTTGGAAGCGTTATCAACACACCCACTCGCTCACAGTATTCTCACATGGGCTGACCTCACATTCTTTGGACATTTTAATAGCAGGCTGGCTGGGGAAAGTGCAGAGAAATTGACTCTGACATTTGTATTCTCACATACAGTACATGGATAACTTTGGGAGAATATCCAGAGTTCAGTGCATGTCTGAAAGCAGCTTATGTTACCTTGAAGTACTTGCTCTACTTGATGCATCACCCTCAGTTTCTGGTTGCTCCTTTGGCTTTGGTTTCCGGGGTTTGTTCTCGTCTGGCTCACTGAAAATAGACCACCGAAAGGAAATCATCAGCTTAGAGACCAAAATGCTCTCAATAGAGTTGGAGACAAATCATCCAAACAAAAGCTAAAGATACAGATTTGTCTTGCAGAGCTATTCAGTATCATTAAGTTTAACATATTTTTCAAATCTTTAGACATATGATTATAAAGTCTCAGGCTGAGCTGTGCCTCTCACCTGAAGGCCTGGATGATGACGGTGCCGAAAAGAATGAAGAGAGCTGAGAAAATCAAGGACAGAATGGGCATCATCTCTCGCCTTGAGAAGAGAAACATGTGGTTATTAAAACATGTGGAACCCATATCAAATATTTAAAGGAGGTGCATCACACTATGATAGGACACTATAAAGTCTCATCTACAGAGAGTGTCAATGATGCAGAATGATTCAGCTTGTTATACATTTCACAAACATCAGCTAAAGTGCTGCAGACTTCCTGTGGGAGTGTCGTCTTACCAGTTTGAATAGAGAAGGTCATCATATATTTGAAGAATGTAATCATATGCAGCATTCATCCATTGAATTATAAAAATCTGAGAGAGAAAAAAAGAGTGACAGTATTAAAAACAAACAAGTCAGATTGATGGGTGCAGGTCCAGTGGGATAGTCGCATGATAGTGGTGTGAGTGTGTGTCTGCTGTGACTTACTGGGGCCATCTCGTTGTTGAGTTCTGGCAGAGTGGCATCCAAGCTCAGATATGTGGGATCCTTTTGAAGGAGCTCCAGCTGTTCGTGGAGGTGGTACTTGTCTTCTTCGCTGCCGTTCCAGCCGCCACTCAGTGAGCGGTACAGGACCTTACCCGCCTGGGTCCGCCTCTCGAGGATCACCACCTGTCAGCAGCATTAAAGAGCCCTTACACTGTAAAGTGAGGCTTCGCAAACAGATCTGTGATATGACTCATTAAGTGGTGTGTGTTCATGTTTTGCAAGTGCATTTTGATGTTTGTTTATGGATGGAAAATTGCAATTTATAGGTTTGTCTTTCTGTACGGTATTAAAGAATGGCATTTGTGCTAAGAGTGTGTGTTATTTCCACTGACCTGAGGTGAGAGTGAAACCTGATTGTGGAGCAGTGCCTGACACAACTGCTGCTGCTGACGCTGGTAGACGTATGCAAAGCGCAGCACGTCTTTTTTGTTGGCTGAGGCGAAGTCGAGGAAAGCCTTGTTGCCTGGAAGAAAAGCTTGGTCCTCACCGGTGATCAGCAGCACACAGTACCTGTGAACCACTCACTCAGGTCAATTAAAAAAGCCTTGATATCCAAACGATGCTTATCCAACCATTCCTTATGGAATTTAGCTTCTTACAGTTGCTGTATTATTATGAAGGTTGTTTGGTTAAATAGTTTTTTGGGCAAAAAGAAGACAAGAACATGAGAGCCATGGAAGATACATAAAGATGAATAAAGATTAACGTCTTACTTCCTCCGCCGGTGGAACTGCTTTACAGGACACAGCTCATCAAAAAGCTGCTGGTTGATGAGTCGTGGCACCTGCAGGAACTTGTTGTTGGACACAAACTCATCCATGATCTGTCGCTTCAATCCTCTGGCCTGGGAGAGAGAAAGTTAAAGGCGTCTAAACAGACAGAAAAGGTTCGAGCAGATTGGCTGTGCAGTTTAAATCTGAGTGTTCAGATATAGCAGGAGGGAATTTTTTTAAAATGAATGACCCAGTGGTTTTGTATGCAGGCAATGCAAGGTGTACCTGTATGATGTCGACAGGCTTCTCTGTGTCCTCTTTAAACAGCATCATGGTGGGGGCGTATGTGTTTATGTTGAACTGCCGCAGGAGCCGAGTGCAGTGCTTGTCACCCTGGTCCACTTGGCCGAATCGCACGTAGTCTCTGAAGGCAAACGCTGTTAACTGGAGGGTGGGAAGGGGAGGATGGGAAGATTAGAGCAGCACAAATAAACACACTTAAAAAAAAAGAGAACAAGATGTGAAGGAGTTCAAGGCAAACTGATAAATTAGGGATGTCACAGGAACCGATAGCAGTACAGAGTCAATGCCAAAATTCTAAAAACCTCATGTAGGTACTGAAAAATACTGACCCTGCGCTGCAAGAACATGGATGTGAGTTCAGCAGGTTATTGTGGAGCCTTGCACTCCAGTATATAGGTGTGTGTGTGTGTGTGTGTTAGTACATCGCTTGTGCAGTCTTTTGTGTTATACCTGATACCTGACATCTCATACTTTTCCTACATGCCTCTGTTTTATAATGTTAATAGTTTTTTCTTTTTATTTATTACTTGAAGGCTACATAGCCACAGTTGTTTTTTGTATGTTCAAATATTTTTTATAAAAAGGACAGTGTGATTCATTGTTGTTTTTTTAACTGTGGTATCAAATTGAGTATCGACAATTGTGAAAATTTCATGCTATCGGTATCAACTAGGAATTTTTTGATATTACGACATCCCTTGTTTAAATCTCTTGACAAAACATGTGTACTGGCATAAAAAAGGAATTATTCTATTCCAAGAAAATGGGAAGTCAAATAGATACTTCTTGTTTTTCAAGACATGTGTGATGTTACCAAAGACACAAACAATTTGATCTTGTAATTGGTAAAAAAAACACTTTTAGTGGACATTTTGTGACCTGTACCAGTTTCCCTATTAGATTACATTTATAAACATAAGGCCCCATATAGTTAAAAAACTATACTGCCAGTGTGTGTGTGTGTGTGTGTGTGTGTGTGTGTGTCTTACTTTGTAGAGCAGGGGAACAATGGGGACTTGGTCAAACAACAGAACACTGGGCTTATTCTCCTCATGCCAGTTATCCAGAAAAGTCAAGTAGTTGTTATCTGTGATCTGGACAAACAAAAGACAAACGTTTTAAAGAAACAATAATATTGGATACAATGGAAATAAATTCAGAACTGTAAGCTACAAGCCATCAGATGAGAAGTTAAACGTCTTCAGGAAACTTAAACAAGTCCTGACAGCTGAGAATCTTCAAAGACGTGATGACTTGTATAAATATATATTGTGAAGTTATCCCACATTTGTTGTAATGTAACACTGACCTCTTGTGGTAGCAACCCCCCCTGTAGATTAATTGGGGCGAATGTATTAACCTGCCAGATCTTCTTTTATATGGATGCTATTATTTTGACTGGTGAAGCTGAGCTGGTGAGTTAAGAGATGTATACAATGTGATTGCAACTTATGTTGAATGCTATAAATGTGTTCATGTATGCGGATTATACAGTGGATAATATGTCTGTGTCATTAATATTGTGGTTTTATGTTCATTTTGTGTCATTTCAGTTGATTACCTGGTGAATGGCACAGTTACTGTTCATGTGCTAGTTAGCTTAGCATGTGTGAAATAGGAATGCTTATGCAAAAATAAACACGTAAAGACATTAATCGGATGTCCGAGCTTGAGTGTGACACTGTTTCATCAGTTAAGAACACCCGTTACGGTGGGATTTATTAAATTAATGTAGTTAGTTTAATAAAACCGTACATATATGTTACCTCAATCAGGTCAATATTTTCAATTATAATCAGCTGGAAACCATTATGCCTCTATGACCAAACAAAGGTATTTACTTATCAGGTCTATAAATTCTATTAAAAGTAGCAGCATCGTATTTGTGTTAGCTTCAGTTACCTTTTCCACCAGTTTGTAGGGCAGAAGGTCTTCGATGAACTGCCGCAGGTGTTCCCGAACCACAGCCTGATGGAAGAAGGTCACCCTGCCGTTCACCAGCCCAATGATGGAGGGCGCACGGTGAGCTCCCAGCTGGTTGGCCAGGTGACGCTCATAACCCAGGTCCACGATGCCAATACCCACACCTGGTGTGAAAGTAAAAATACACTCATAGCTGATACAGTGGAGCAAAAAACACAAAGCTCTCTGGTAATGAAGGACACATGTAAATATTACATCATAATAAAAACACAATATAACCAGCACATGCAAACACAGAGAGCTGCCTTCTTATTGACTCTCATTGACTGTGCACTCATAGACTTTAAGACTGGTGTCAGTAGCACAGTAAAGAGCAGTGGGTTCCAATAACATGCTGGTTATACTGTATTTCCAGGGGAGGCCACTGTGCAACACTTTTGGATTAAACACCAGACTTCATCTAAAGAACATTTAGGTATGTACTTCTATTTGGCAGAATTAACTTAACTTAAAACTCATCAGTACTAGACAAGGCCTGAATTTCTACCTCGCCTTAGCTCTCTATCCCTGGAAACCAAGAAGAACAAATAAACCCTGAAGAATATTTAAAGAAATTGCCATCTCTGTAAAGTATCTGAACACATTTGTCCTAATGACTGAGTGCACAGCAGGTGTATGTTGGGATGCTTTCAGGAAAACCAGTGAGGATCCTGAGGGGGTGCTGGGGGCAGAGGGAAGACTTACCCAGCAGCTCCAGCTCCTGCACTGTCTCCTTCCATACAGGCTCAATGTGGATGCATGCAAAGCACCTGTCAGAGGTCACTTTGATGAGGTACGGCCTTTTGTGGCTGTCTGGGAGCACGTCGCTGTTAAACTGTGCGTGATGAAGCAGGTACTTGTTGTCGGCAAAGTCCCTGGACATGGAGGAGCAACACAAAACAGTGGAGGCTGTCAGGACTTGACCAGTGAGAAAACTGTGACTCCAACTTGTTTACTTTAGGCTGAGTAGAGGCAGATATGCTCCTCTAAAAATCAAAGGAATCTAAGGAACTTTTAGCTTAATAATCAAAGAAAAATTTATCAATTTTCATTATTAATTCGTTTTTTTTCCTCTAATAGTTTTTCACCACCAAATTCTAATCAGATCATCATTGAGTCCAAGTGGACGACTTTCCCCTCCAGGCCTTCCACAAAAATATAATTAACAGAACTAGACAGTCATGAGGTCACAGTGACTACTAAAATGAAGAAACACACACAAATGGTAATATCAGATACGCTAAAAACTAACATATTATCATATTTTATTGATTAACTGAAAACTAATAACTTAATGGGTCTGGACAACAGGACTTGATCATGCTAGTTTACAAAGCATAACCAAAGTCTAGGAAAGGGACAATAATTACTCCACCTGAACACATCGTCTTCTGGATTAGAATGGATTTGTTTGTAATGTCCTTGATTATCAATAATCTAACACAAGGAGGAGCTCATCCAGACAGACTGTGACTTCCCAAACGTGAAGCCAAAGCATCTCAATCACCCTCTGGTGGCTGGCTACATTATAGATCATAAACCCCTCATCCTCCATGTAAGCAGATGGGACATGGACCAAACAAAAAAAGTCAAAGTTAAATACATATTTGTATAGTTACTGTCATTGTAGGTAGTTTGATAGTTTGGTAGTTTAATTAGTTATTTGATGCTATGAAAAACAGGTTGGGCTGCCAATATGACAGCTGAGTCTGAATCGTGATTGGTCCAGTGTGTATATCACTAGGGCTACGATACGTCAGCGCCATTCCCTGATCCCTCCTGCGTAAAATCTGGCTCCAAATGTTGTCAAAAGCTCAACATGGCATCACCCACATCCGGGATGTTCAGGCTTGATTCTTGTCCAAAAGGAGAAGTGGAGATTCATCATCCGTCTTTATTGACAGTCACACCACCCACTACACAGATAACCGCTGCTTACTAGTATGTAAATATTTGTGATCAGGTATGACAACATGGACAGAGAAATGTTTTATCATCCGACACCTTCAGCTGCTCATTTACACCTCTACAAATGGTGTCTTAAAAAACATATGACACAGGAACCACTTAGGAATCCAAACTAAACATTTCTACCAGTGTTTTCTGGTTCAGACTAAATGAGGGTGATGGTGAGTACCTGTGGAAATGGAAAAACGACTCATCAAAGTAGAAGCTGCTGCGGAAGCTGCGGAAACCGTGATGCTGGGACTGGCCAAACGGCTGGTTTTCATCCATCTGGCCGTAGCGGTCAAAGTTGGACCTTCGCTCTTCGTTTGACAAAATCTGAGAAAAAGGCACAAGTGAGAGGATGGTGTTGTTAAAGGGGTAGTTCACCCAAAAATTCAAAAAATGAACACTGGGAGTTTCAGGGGTAAACAGTGTTGCACCCACATCCAATGAACAGGCAGGATGATCACAGCGGACATGTAGGCTAAAAACATGGTGTAAATGACGTTTCGAGTGGAATTTGAATGTGGGGGTTTACAGACACGTGGATGACACCACAGGAGCAGTATGGAGGCATTTTCTATTTTTTTTCTGTTTGAAGAAGTGGCCACCTAGTCACTTCAATTCTATTGGATTTGGCTGCAACGCTGTTTACCCCTGAGACTTCAAAAGTGTTTTGTGGACACTTCGCCCACCCCTCCATCGACATAGTAGTGAGTATATAGATGATGAGTGAAGTTTCACTTTTGGGTGAACTATCCCTTTGAGGACGCTAAAAATGAAAGCGAGAACCTGACAGAAACAGAAACAGAGTAATGTGGGAGACACGCTGCAGATGAGAGGCGTCAGCTTTCAAATTGTGTACGTGTGTGTGTGTGTTGTGATGCTTTTTAAACCCACCTCGTATGACTTGGTGATCCTGATGAATGTGTCCTCAGCTTTCGGGTCCTTGTTCTTGTCTGGGTGCCTGAGGGAACAAGCCACACGTGACACCAGGAATCACACAGGGTTAGAGGAAGGTCACTGACACATTGTGTGTCAAGTGATGAGGTTTCAGGAGAATAACGTGAACAGTGCTGATGATGGTTCAGTGAGTCACCCACCATTCTCTGACCAGGCTCTTGTAGGCTCGTTTGATTTCTGGATGACTGGCGCTCCGGCTGACCCCCAGGATTTTATACGGGTCATAGTCAGACGCTGTCTCCACCGACTGCTCACCCACAATCAGCAGGAAGATGGCGAGTAACAGCGGGGATATCCCGGTGGGATGTCGGCTGGTTCTTCTCCTCGCCGTCATTGCTCGCAGCTGTCCCTGCTCCACCGTTACCGGAAATGTAACCAGCCACTGGCAGAGTTCAACCTCAAGGCTAATGAATGACGTTCAAACTGCGCAGTTACATGTCGGGTTAGCTGACGTTAGGTCTTTGTACAGAGGAACACAGTGTTTTACTACGATGAGGCCATTTTCTTAGCTGGATGTTAGCAAACCGTCACTGTCACTACCGGCACCGGAACATGGAGTTTCCGGTTACACATTTCAACATAAAAGCATCCTCAACTAAAGGCTTGATAGATCGTGAGATTTATATTTTAGAGGAATTACAACGATTACAAACAAAATTGATGAACTCATCCATCAATTCATTCAAAATTTTTGATTAACTGTTAAAATAAACTGTTCAGATTATTGGCGAGTGGCAACCAACATCCAAAGTGATTTACCACCTTCTTCTTCCCCTCTTCTTCTTCCCCCTCTTCTTCGCTAAACTTCTTACAACACCTTCCTGGTGAGTTTTCGGAGAGGGGTGCTCTGCTGTCTGTAAGGAGAATAGTCTGTTAAGGAAAAAACAGCTAGAGGTAATATAAAGTGAGATTTAAAAACGTCAATTGCCCATCCATTGGGCATGATTAACATGGTTCCAAACGTGTTTTAATTTGGAAATAATCACATATAACATCCGGCCTTGATGCCACTGCAACCCGAGACGCAAGGTGGGCGGAGAGTCGCCCTCACCAGGCTCGTGATTGGCTTCAATCATCGATCATCAATATTCTTAACCAAATCTCACCCAATCAGAAGCAAGGTAGGGGCGGGTCTTCGTTCATCTTAGATGGGGGGGACGCAGACAGTGTGTAACGCGCATGCTCCAAACATCAGATGTCTCTTGTCATCAAATGTGACTCTTGTCCCTGTTCAGATGTCTTCTCTCTCACATGTAATAAACATGTAAAATATCCACAGCCATCATTTTATTTATACATTTAGATATGTTCCTGTGCTGTGGTATATATGTTTTGTCGGCAGTTAAGGTTAGAGTTATTTAGCCTGTAAACTGTTTCCTCTTAATAACACCAGCAACACAAAGGAAACAAAGTATTTGTCCACATGTTTGTCCACAATGTTTGTGATGTCATTTTAGCCCCTTCTCTCTTCAGGGGGCTTCACTTCCGGTGTCGTCACGGCTGCTGCACAGAAGAGCCGCTCTGCTGCTCAGAAGAGATGAATACTGCGCTGTGTTAGCCGGCTCAGCTAACAGGCTAACACCCCCGTCTGCTCGTTGTCACCTGCCTGAACGACACCGCTGGTTTCACCCTCGTGTGTGGGTCACGATGAGCAGCCTGCGTGTGCTCACATCCAGCGGACTGAGCTGTGCCCAGAGGCTCCTCTCCTGCTAGCTAGCGTTAGCTCCACGGAGCTGTGTGGCCCGCTCTGCCTGCACCATCACCGGGACTGGTACACTTCACTAAGCTCAGGTAACCGACACATCCTCGGTATTGACCTGTGCTCGCTGCTGTGTGGTCAATGAACCGTTCAACTACTGAGCTTAGCAAGCAGGTGGTGCTGCAGAACCACAGGTGAGCTGCTGAGGGCACGTTTTACTCTGCTAACCTGCTCTGTAGCTGCTCTTATTCAAAATATTTGATCCATGTGCAGAAATGATCATCCTGAATGTGGTGAAGGTGGTATTGACGCTGCTGTAATGTCTGTGATCACAGCAGTAAGACGAGCTGAGGTTAGCATGCAGAGCTGTGAGATTACTAACTGCATCATGGAAAATTGTTCCCCCTCAGCCTCTAGTGCACCCTAGTGTAAAATCAATTTAAATAAAATGGAGGTTGTTTTGCATTTGAACTGTAACTGTTAAATCATAACACTGTTAGTTTTATATTGAATAATTCAAATTGCAATAATACTAACAATCCTTTGTATTTTTTGTTCCAGACACATCACCATGAATCTGTTACGTCTTGTTTGCCGCCACAAAACAGCCCTGGTCATTGGCACTGTTTGCAGCTTTGCCATAGTTCTCGTCTTCTTGGCCAAATGTACCTCAGAAACCTTGAAACAGGGCCACTCGGATCCTCCAGGCTTGGCCCCTCGTGCCAACCCTTTGCAACCTCGTCCAGAGCAGCACAACCCCCTCTCTACAGTCAAAGACTTGTCAGCATTCCTTGTGGTCCTTATCACGACCGGACCCAAGTACACAGAGCGGAGGAGCATCATCCGAAGCACCTGGCTTGCCAAGCGAGACTCTGATGTTCTTGCCATGTTTGTGGTGGGAACTCAGGGCCTTTCCAATGAGGACATGCAGAACATCAACACAGAGCAAGGGCGTCACAAAGACCTGCTCTTACTGCCTGACTTACGCGATTCTTATGAGAACTTGACACTCAAGCTGCTCCACATGTACTCCTGGCTGGACCAGAATGTGGAGTTCAAGTTTGTCTTCAAAGCAGATGATGACACATTTGCTCGCTTGGACCTCCTCAAAGAGGAGCTGAAGGGTAAAGAGCCAAACCGGCTCTACTGGGGCTTCTTCTCAGGGAGAGGCAGGGTAAAAACAGCCGGCAAGTGGCGGGAAAGCTCCTGGGAGCTCTGTGACTACTACCTGCCCTATGCGCTAGGCGGGGGCTACATCCTCTCAGCCGACCTGGTGCGTTACATACATCTCAATGTAGGTTATCTGAAGACGTGGCAGAGCGAGGATGTGTCTCTGGGGGCCTGGCTGGGACCAGTGGATGTCCGGAGGACGCATGACCCACGCTTTGACACAGAGTACAAATCACGTGGTTGCAACAACAAATATCTGGTCACACATAAGCAGAGCCTGGAGGACATGCTGGAAAAACACCAGACTCTGCAGCGTGACGGCCGGCTCTGCAAGGAGGAAATCAAGCTGCGACTGTCCTATGTGTATGACTGGGGCGTGCCACCTTCACAGTGCTGCCAGAGGAAGGATGGCATTCCTTAAATGTTGTCCTTTTTATCTTGTTAGTTGGCTTTTGATTTGTGGTTATCTTACTCTGTGAGATTAAGGGATAAGGTTTTTCAGCTATTCCACGACTATTAAAAGATTTAAAGTTGTGTAATAGGTTCTAGACATTATATTGTAAAAGTATTAATTCTGTTAGAAACCTCCTGTCTAGTTAAAATCTACTTGATTAACATTTTTACAGTAACAAGAGTCAATTTCACAGATTTCTCTTCCATCCAGGCCAGAGGATCTAGATGGATATTGGTTTCAACAGTCTCCATGTTAATTCAGAACAGCTCTGAGAAATTATAATGGAGTGGTTTTAGAGATAGTGTTCTTAGATGAGAGAAAAAGTCATTAAATTGCTCTATTTTCTGCCTCCATAAACAGTATATAGGATTCCTACAAGTGTTCAAGAGGTGAACGAATAATCAAATCAATCTCCACTAGAATGGGGTTTTAAACTGTGCTGCTTTTATTTGAAGTCAAGCAGAAATGGCTGAGAAATATTATCCCTTGACTCTTGATCAGAAGCCATCCTCCCCCTTATCTCTTTGTTGACCTGTAAACTCCTTTGGCCTTGTTATTTGGACCCATGATAATGTCGGTGATCTCCTTCTCTCACCTGTCTGTGCTTTTTCTGCTGTACCTCTCGCTAAATATCTTCAAAATCAATGTGAGGAGTTTTAACTGTCGTAGATAGAAGTGGGAAACGCAGATTGTAGTCTTTAACCCTGCCATGATGTACTTTTTGTGAACACAATGTTTTTGTATTTAATTTATTATTAATTTATTCCTCAGCAAACAAAAGACACTGGTACTGAGTCGCGACAGGAGCACAGTGGATGGAGTTGCTGCATGTGAGTAGAATATGTATTTATAAACATGGCAGGGGGAAATCACATGTAATTCACATAACTAATGGAGAAGAAATGTTTACGGTACACAAGGTTTGAGGTGTTTGGAGTTACACAGAATGTGTTTGAGAAAATGGTTGAATGTGTTTTATTCAGCAGGCCTTCTAACTCATTATACTGGAGCCTACGTGAGGAGGCCGGGATAATATTTACATCCATGTAGTGTCTCTGATTCACGTCACTACATTTTCTTTGTAGAGATTTCAAGTTGTTTGTGACTGTTCGTTTGCAGTACAGCAGAGATACGCCCACAGTAACACTTTCTCGTAAAATGGCATACCACTGGTAGTCATGACTGATGAGACCCAATCTGGAATCACATGTGTGACTGCACCGTCACTTCCAAAAGTCTCCATTTCTGTCTGTCTAGACGAAACCCCAGAGTTTTCAAACTAAAACAGAGCTGGCAGTGTTTCCAAAGTTCTCCATTTTAGGGCTTTTGTGTTTGTTTATGTTTTAGTATCAAAACGCATCATCACCTTTGCTACGTTCACTGGCGTCCACACTACTCTGGAGTTTTCATGTTTCTGAAATGGAGACTTTTGGAAATTATGCAGCAACATTAGCTGCCCGGTGGTTCTCATCAGTGACAACTCAACTACCAGCAGTGAATGCACAGCGTTGCTAACACCAGTATTTCCACTTCGTCATTGGATAAAGAAAAGAAATTCCTGGTCTTTTTACTGATGCTGCTGATCTGTTTTCATAGTATTTCCTGCTACTAAGCAACTGACTGCAGAGAAGACAGTCTGCTTCCTGTTTACACCTGTACATACGTGACAAGTGTATGTGAATAGATACGTGTTTTCAGATGTGTTATTGTGACAGAGATTAATTATGATCCAGAGCTAAAACACTCGCCTGGACAGAGATTGTTTTCATTTTTTGAAACGCTGTTTTAAAATGAAAATGTGTTAGTGTGGTCGTAGCTGGAGAAACGTAGCAGCTGGCACTTTGTCACTTTTTAGCCAAGAAAAGGTTCCAGACTTACTTTATCTGATGTTAAGCTTTATAACCTTAACTCACTCCATGATGTCAATAACCGAGTCTCAGAACATGTGAAATGTGTACAGCAGCTTTGGGTAAAAAACACGACACATTGAAGGACAAACGGTTCAGGAAATAAAGAGCCACAAGTTTCATTCCAATGTTGAGGAAACCGCTGTTTCCTCAACGTTGTCCCAAGCAGATTCTGATTAATTCAACTTCAGTTTCAGTGTTTGTTTTTAAGTACATGCTCAGCCCCCCTGGATGTTTTATTAAACATTTTATATGTACTCCTGTCGCTTATAGTCTCTCTCTTTATATATAAAATGTTTTGGAAGGACTCTACATACATTGTATGTGAGTTGTCAGCTCCACACATTAAAATGTTTCTAGTTTAAGAACAGATATTTCTTGGGGGGTGGGGGGGGGTCTTAAAATGAAAACATCAGATTCAAAGAAAATACTTTTTCACTGGAATTTAGAATCGAAGCTCACAAGTCCATTCCTCTTTTTGGTAATGATGGAGGACATTGATTTTTAAAATAGCACTACAGGGCTTGACCCTTACTTTTGTGCCATGTAGCACGTGAAGAAGTTTAGTCGTGCAATAAGAACAACGACAAGTAGTGTGTATTTTTATTAATAGAGGGATAAAATAGACGTACAAAGTAAAATGCTTAAATTCTTCTAAATATATGAGTACACTAGGTTTAAACTATTTCTGCTTTAATGCCTCCTGTAATTCTTAGTTTTAAACAGTTGCTTGGCTACTAAATAGATTAAACATTTAGCACACATCTGATTTTAGTAGAAAATGCTAGTAACATGTTAGCACGACCGAGTGCTGGACTAAGGACAACTAATTTCCCCAATCTAAAATACAGATTTCTTATACTAAATTAAAAATGGTCTGATATAGATTTGGTTAAAAAATGGCATCAGTGTCTGCCATGGCGGCAGATGATGATATGACACTAACTGCACATATTTGCTCTAGTTGTCATGATGACAAATTTTGGACGTGCTTCAAGGTTCCTCTCACTCGGACGAACTCCGGCACGTTCTGTAGGCTCTCGTTCCTTTTCTTCTCCTCAAGCTCACACTGCAAGACAGGAAACATCTCGTTGGGACCTCCTTCTTTATGTACAAATAACTGCAGGCATCCTCACACATTTCCAGAAAGGTTATAGGTTGTGGCCTTTTCCATCTTTGCTCTCACTACTTACGACTTGTGATCTCTGCTGCATTGCGCGAAGCTTCACCTCCAAGTCTGAGGGAGGATGGAGAGCCAGCTCCTTCTGCTTGTGCTGCTCTCTCTGTTTGTGTTCCAGGACACACTGCAGCTCCGGCTTTCTTCTCGGCAGGAGACCTCTGTGGACACGTGAACAAAAGTTTCTGAAAATATGAATAGATATAGCTGGATCTAAGATAAGCAATGAAAATAAACAGTATTGGTGAAACAAGACAGAGAACATAAAGTGTGACGTTGGTACAAGACAACATACAGACATACTACAGAGATACACAAACACCTGCTGCTTTAGTTATAGGTATTTCTGCTGTCTCAGGCACAAGAGTGAGAACACCTGCCCCCTGCTGAGAGATCAGCGGTGATCTCTTGTCTCGACCAGTGTTAAACAACACCTAAGCATTATCGCTTATCCTCGGTCACAGCTCGGTCAGAGCTGTGGTCAGCCATGTAGAGGATTCTCTGACAGAACGCTGATCTGTAGAAATATCACTGCTCTCTGGTAGAAGTTTCAACTTTCCTTTACCAAAGATGTCACGTGGAAAAACAGAAAACTTTGGTTTCTCACATTATTAAAACTGTTATAGAGTTGGAACATGCAGGCAAGGTAAATATAAGAAAAATAAGTAACACTTTATATTAGGGAACACATATCAACCATTAACTAGTTGCTTATTAGCATGTATATTAGAGGCATATTGGCTCTTTATTGGTCATTACAAAGCACTTATTAATGCCTTATTCTTAATGACCTTATTCTGCAACTCTACTCCATTGATTAACAGTTTTCCCTTAATAATCTCCTAATTACTGCTTATTGATGGTAAGTAAGGAAGTTGTTGTACATGAATTACAATCAAGTGCTTGGATATCTTCACTTTGTGTGTTCCCTAATAAAAAGTGTTACTGAAAAATTGTCTACAAACAATATTTACTGCTTAAAGTCAAGGTATTAAAACTTTTTGGTTTAGTTTATGCTTATTGACTGTAATTAAATTTATTTCCGAACCTGCTGCCTCTGTGACTTGATCATACAGGGTTCAGGGTTTTCTCACCGTCTGTGGCAGAAGAGCAGCTCTTGGTGAAGGGCTCTGTGTTGGTGAGAAGCCACAATGGGATTTGGCAGCTTCCTGGGCTTGATGAGGTCACCATCCTGTTGTTGACTCTCAATCACCTGGTGAGGTTGGACCATCCAGCAGTGATGTCTCTCTGACAAACATAAACCAAGGCCAGCACACACTCACATATCACTGTCAGCGTTTTATCCAGTAGGCTACACACAGTATGAGTGCAACTTCCAGAACAGTGAGTTTTTAATGGTCAAGGACTGGGACCTCTGAACAAATGGGGATATTCTATCTTTAGATCCACTAAAAAATGTTTACCTCACCTCTTCCGTTTTGTTTTTGTGACCCCTGAAAGAACAGAACCGGAGGCAAGTAAGTAATTTCCATTTACAGAATAGACTTTAAAAATTGCAAATATTATTTATAGTTTCACAGCATACAAACATTTCTAACCACAACAACAAATTACTGCCAAAACGGAACAGAATTCAGCAGAATTTGCAATGCTAAATAAACTCACCATATGTTTATTTTGATTCTCAAAAATAAGCAGCTAATTTGTCATAGACCCAAACGGATTGTTGTAGCTTTGTGTACAGGTAATGCTTTTTAAAACGTACTGTGTGGTCCTCTGGGACTTTCTCTTAATAAGTTTCCAAAAAGTTTGATTATTTATTTTATTGTATTTTTAACGAGGCTCAATGTGGATTTTCAGTCCTTTAATATCTGAGCAAAGAACAAGCTCTATCCATTAACCAATCAGTGGTACAGGACAATTCAAACCTGGTTTTTCTATCTCATAGTTTATGATTAAACAAACAATAGTTTTATAAATTCTCACATAACCTTAACATTACATGAATCTTACCTGTGTGCAATGGTAGAGACGCATAGTTGAAAGAAGAGATGTGCTGAAGTGTGTTTTAGCAGAAGAAAGAGCAGGAGGAGAAGAAGAAGCAGCTCAGTGGTGTTGTCGGTATGAACGATGTGCTGCATCTCCGGTGACGCTGATCTGAACAGCTGTTCCTCACTGTCCTGATCAAATCTTATTAAGTGTCTTACAGCCCTTTGTTCCCTTCAGGGGAGGAACTTCTGTTGTCCCACAGGCAGCAGCAACAACATATGGAGTGACTGGGATAATGATAATGAGACATAGGAAGATATATTCCTCCAATATACATACACACTCCTACAACTACTACTACTGATAATGAAAATAATAATAGTACATTTAATACATCTCTCTCTCACTCACGTACACATGCACACACACCGAACCTCATCATGTACAACCAATGCAGAAGTCTAAGTGCAATTTGTATATAGTAATTTATCTTGTTTTAACTAATCTTTACTTTATATTCTTCACTTTTCATGCTTGTTTGATTATCTTGCTGTTGCAACGCTGTTAATTTCCCAATCTTGGGACAATAAAGGAATTCTGATTCTGATTTATGTAGCACTTATATGTTATACTGCTCAAGGAGTAAAAAGACAAAGCAAATAAGAAAGAAATATAAAATGATCAGAGTTTAAAAGTAGTTTTGGGTTGAATGGTTTTTCAAAGGTTGTTAAGTGGGTTCACAAGTCAAATATTTCTATATTTCTATGTTATACATAAAATCAGAATTAGTGTTGAGTTTTTCATGGTCCTGAAGTGAAACAGGTCAGTGTAGCTTTGACTAACACCTGAACACAACAAATGTGAGTTATACAAAGACACTGAACTGACAAGTTCAACCTGCAACATTAAATTAGATTGAAATGGAGAGATTATATATGAATAAAGTTATGACAAGTGAAAGCTTTTGATTGTGGTGGGAAAATATGCAGAACTGAAATGTACTGATGCAGAAATGTTTTAAAAATATATTAATATAGTCATTATCAACCACATGTGTCATATGACAAATTGTGTACAGGTGTTGGTTATACTGAATGGACATAGGTATCATTTTTTTTAATCATTTTTCAGCTTGAACATAAAGCACACAAAATTCTAGATTGTTTTAAAATATTAATTAGAGGCTGTATTATTTTTCTTGTCACAAAGTAACATTAACACTGCAGCCTAAAGCAGAAGCACATAAAAAGTGTAGATTTGTGAGTTTTACTTTACTTTTACAATGAATGTATTAACAGTAGAAATAAGTAAAGTAAATGGACTGAGTGTAACGGTACACTGTTAATAAAGGGGAGGCTGCCACGCACCCACACCGAATTTCAACACATTTCGAGCAAGCAGCGCAGAGTTATTCACCCTATGGGTTAGGGTTGCAATTAGGGTTAGGGTTAGGGTTGCAATTAGGGTTAGGGTTGTGATTAGGGTTAGGGATGAAAACCCATTGGAGATCAAGATATTCTTGAATAACATTTTTTCTGAAGGTCATAGAGACTTGGAACTTGGTTCCATCTCCACTAATGGGGCTCTGCCCGATCCATTGAGACCATCCCCGAGCTTCTACGACCTTCGGAAATGGTGAAACCACCAAATCTCAAACAAAAAGTACAAGATATTTTTGAACAACTTTTTTTCTGAAAGTCCTAGAGACTTGGGCATTTCAAGATTGATAAAGGGTAGCCTGCCACGCAACCACACCGAATTTCAGCACGTTTCGAGCAAGCAGC